GATTTCTAACAATTTTCTTGGATATGATTTGTATTTTTCTAGCTTTTATGTTACTGGTAATTTGATTTTATGAAATCACTATACACGTATACAAGAAAAATGTGTTAAACTGTTAGTTTGTAAACATGTAAAAAAAAACAGTGTTCAATTTCATTTATTCTAAAGGTGTAGAAATAGTTAACATTAAAGACCGAAAGGTGATGTTCATGTTGGGTTTAATTTTTTTAGTGGTTTTGAGTATGTTGAAGCCTTAAAATATTAATTAATATCTCGGATGAATGATAATTTTAAATTTTTTTGAAGGTGCTAGTGTATAACATTTAAATGTATTATATGTTATATTTAAGAATAATTTATTTTAACTGATTGATAATAACATGTAGCATTGATTGTCACCACAGGTACCACAGTATCTGACTTGGGGCACATGTTGTTCCCAGAAGGAATGCTGGGAAGTCGTGATCACAGTGGTTTCTTGTTTGTTAGGCCTACATTTCAATGCTTAGGAAAACTAGTGCTTCCAACCCCTCCTTTTCTTGTGGCAGTTCTTATCCAGAAATGGGAAGTTCCATGGGCAAAGGTTTTCCCTCTTCGCTTGGTTCTGAGGCTAGGATATGAATATCGTTGTAAGTTAATGATACATTCTCATCACTCACTCATAAGAGCATAATTTTTATATAATTAATCAAGGCAAATTTGAAAATACTGACTTTGACAACTTAAATGTCAGTGTTTTCTGAAAATAATTTATTTTTCTAAAAGTTCCATATTTTTCTCTGTGTATTTGTGTTTTAGAATACACATATTATCGTGTTTGACTTACTGCATATTGTATTGATATTACACAAAGATGTACTAAAAAAATTATACTCTAGAAAAGTCTATGAAGTTATTGTTAGGTGGTGCTCATAAAAGAAGAAAAAAGTTTATAAATATGAAGTAGTAGTAATTTAATACCACTTGGGTAACGTATTAGCCCCAAGTGTAAGACAAAACTAAAATGTTATGGGCCCTAAAACAACTTTGTAAAACCATTTCTCATTTTATGAGTACCAAAAGTACGTAGCTAATGATTAATTTGTCTTAAAGCATATGTTTACTACCAGGACGTGTTAGAGTAATATAAAAATTATTACACTTGTTAGTAATTCATTAAACGCCATTCATTATTCATGCTTGCCACCTGAGAATACTTAAACAAAGTTTAATGTTTAGTTTATTGAAGCTGAAATTTCTTTCATAGGCAGCTCTGCATGCTAGGCTGTGGATCATAAGGTCCTAGGTTTTTTGCTGTATTAAGCTGTGGGTGCATTATGAGAGTAACAGCTCAGTTTGGATAAAGCCTCTGTGTTGGCATTTGCTGCTGATCGTTGTCCTTTGTCTGTAGTTCAAGATTAGAAATGGCCATGCCTAACCTTAGGGTTCTCTGACCTAGCCATTTAGCCCATTTGAAAGTAAGGTGTTGTAAAGGTTGAAAATACAGTATTAGTTTTTATTCAGAGATATGTGTCATACTGTAAATTACTTATTTGTAACAAACTACATCAACTTCTAACAAAAAGGAGTACATTTTATAAAGCTACAGTAATGAATAAATGCTTATTATGATAATTCCATACACTGGTATAGGACGCATCTCACTAAATGAAACTACATTTTTAAGATAATGAAACTGAGGAATTTGCATGAAATATAAAACATAGTTTGATTTTTAAAGAAAACTAGCAACTATTTTCAAATTCAGCAGATAAACTAGGAGATTTTATGACTTATTTTAGGGAAACTTCAAGAAATGTTTATTTGCTGAATAACATATTTAATTGTAATTTTTTTAAGTTCTTTTCAAGGGTGTATTTGTTTCTCATTTAATACATCATAGTAGTTTTTTTTTTTTTGTAGATGATACTTGAAGCCAAGGCCAAGTGGAATCTGTCAACCACTTTTAGGGTTGATAAGTTTAATACGAAAATACTCATAATTATTTAATTTGCTTCAGATTCAGGATACTCGTACCATAAGAATAATGTTTAAAAAACAGTTTCCTAATACATTTAAGGTTTAAGATAGTGTAGTGTATTATCCTATCTAATCAAAAACACCTCGGGTGTGAAAAAAAAGTGTGCCCAAATAAAGATTGAGCATGCGACTTAAAGGAATGAAATCAAAATTGGTGGCCAAACTGGTAGCTACACTTATAGCATTGATAAGAGTTTTACAGCAAATATTCATGATGGTGGGTAAAATAAAATGCCCATGGAAATAGTGAAACCACAGCTTCAATTCATTTCATTGGTTGCCACGACATGAGCCAGCTAGCCTTACTCAAACCATCTGACCTCTGCAGTTCTCTTTTACCAGCAACATTATTAGAAATGTTGTGCTCAAATGGTTGGTCCTGGCATGGCCAGGTTGTTAGGACACCCGACTCACTATCTGCAGGTTGCAATTTCGATTCCCCATCCCACCAAACATGCTCGAAGTTTTAGCCATGGGAGCATTATAGTGTGATGGAAAGAATAGCCCAAGAGTTGGCAGTGAGAGGTGATGTCTAACTACCTTCCCACTAGTCTTTCACTGCTAAATTAGGAACGGCTAGTGCAGATAGCCCTTGTGTAGCTTTATGTGAAATTCAAAGCAAACCGAACTCAAATGATTGCTCACTAAAGGTAATAGCAATAAGATTGAAATCATATAAACTACTGATATATTTTTTCCACATTCCTCTTAGTTTGTCCATAATTAAAATAAATATTATGCCTTTATTTTGGCTTGTAATGCTTTGCCAGTGCTTAAACTGTTAATTTTAATGATAAAAAATGGTTTTTAGTATAGGATGGCAATCAGTAGTGGAGTATTGTAGACATTGGCTAACTAGGTGCTCATGACATAGCTACACCACTTTCTTCCCAAATTGATTATCTTTCAGCACTGTTACATGTAACTAAAATGAGTTTTGGTATTCTAATATATTTGAAAGGAAAATGGAACAGAAGAGATATATATACACTTACTAACATTTATACATTAAATAGTTAGTTATATTACAGTTACTGTTAAATGTAAGAAAGAATAATGTTACTAGTATCAGTCCCAAAATTGCTAATGCCTTCAAAAGTTATGGTCGAGGCCTGGATATATGACTTGTATGAAAGCAATTTTGTGATAAGCAGAGTAGTTTACTAAATACTGTAGTTTGGTAACATTAAAATATTTTATAATATCCTAATTGCAAAAATGAATACATGCAATAAGATAATCTGAGTTTTTGATACAAGTGTTGTTTTTTGTCTTTTTTTACAGATTATCCTTGTCCTCTAGTTAGTGTTCGTTTTCGCAAATCAGTTTATGGAGAAATAGGCAGCACCATAATGAATGTATTAGCAGTAAGTCTTTGTTCTCTCTTGTTTTAATAAGGTGATTTAATGATGCTAGATTATGTATACATCTCCACGTATGGTTACAGAGAAACCATGAAATGTCAGTACCAAGAAGGGAGCCCTCTCATAGTGAGTATACTTCTCCAAGATTTTCAGTTGATTCTACCATATTTACTGTTTTTCATTTCTTTAATGGTTTCTTCTTTTGTCCATTTATTTAAAAAATATAACTTTGCTAATAATAATTTTTAACTCTGATACGAGGTAAATATTTCTTTAGAAATGTCTTAAGTACAACAAAAAAAGTATTGGAATACCATCAATATATATACAGTTAACTGAAAAATCCATATTAGGCTACATAAAAGTTAACTGTTTACATTTATTAATATCCTTAAATTTAATTGTTCATCTTTTTCCATTCCATATAAAGATTAACATTCCATAAGGTGGGCTAAACATAATTTTAGAATCTGAAAATGCTTGGAAAACATTACACAAATTTTCCGAAGTAGTAGCTTTAATTGATAACGTGCTACTAAAGTATAATTTTGCATGTGTAACTTTATACTGTGTGTTCTTTCTGTAGATGTAATTATTTCATTCCGTCTTAGCCATTGGAATAACATAACTATAAATTCCCTTGTTGTTTGTTTTTGCAATATATTTTTTGGATTTGTCTCTTGCACATCTCGACTACTATTGACAAGATACTCAAATGATGTACTATGTCTTTGGTACTTTCTCCATTTCTCAACTATTCAAGCTTTAAACTTTGCGTTGACCATAATACTGACTTTCAGGTACTTTGTGCATAAGTAAACATATATATGGTAAAAAGTAGCTTAATTTGTGCAATCATGACAATTCCCAGATCTCAACTTCCTTTTCAAGAGGCCAGGTAGGGCTTTATTGGACAGTGTGCTGGATCCAAGGTTTGATCCATTGTGCCACTGCACAAGCTCATCACTTTCAGCTCTGGTGCAATATAAATGTGACAGTTAATCCTTTTATTAAGTTTAAGAGCCAGATGAAACATGTGGCGGTGGATGCTGATGTTTGGCTGCCCTATACCCTATAGGCACATCTATATCTGATGCCCTAGGGATTTCTGTCCTGAGCTTTTAAACCCATGTGTTGAATAAAATGCCATTCAAGCTCAAATTTCAAATTATGTTTCGAGCGAAACACTGTTTGTAAACAAATTGCTTTTGCTCAGAAATTTTGAACGTCCATTGAATAGATAATATATATTAGTTTTAGTTATATTTAACAGTTTTCTCTGAATTTTATTGCCTTATTATTTGAGATTGGTAGTAAATGTGAGTTAACACACACACACACACACACACACACACACACACTTATATATATATAGTATTTATTTTAATAACTTCATAACTACTTTTTAAAAAATTAACTGTGGAAACTTGAGAGGAATTGAAGAAATTTATGAAAAATAAAATTTTTTGTTTCTTCTTCTGGAGAGTGCAAGCTGCTGAAGTTTATTTCTTAATTTTATAACAAAACTTGTTATTAGTAATTATAACACACAAACATTTTGCTGTATGTTTTTTTCCTTTTTTAACATTTTTATGCCTTTTAAATAGCAGTGTTAAGTTTGTTTAAATTGTTTATAAAAGCATGTAACACTATGATACATTGAGTAAGTGTACAGTTTACAAAAGTCTGTGAATGACGTTCTTTGTTTAAATTGTTTATAATAGCATGTAACACTATGATACATTGCATAGGTGTACATTTTACAAAAGTCTCTGTGGATGACATTCTTTGTTTAAATTGTTTATAAAAGCATGTAACACTACATGTTACTTACATCGAGTAAGTGAAAATTTTTCAAAAGTCTGTGAATGACATTCTTTGTTTAAATTGTTTATAAAAGCATGTAACACTACATGTTACTTACATCGAGTAAGTGAACATTTTTCAAAAGTCTGAATGACATTCTTTGTTTAAATTGTTTATAAAAGCATGTAACACTATGATACATTGAGTAAGTGTTCATTTTACAAAAGTCTCTGTGGATGACATTCTTTGTTTAAATTGTTTATAAAAGCATGTAACACTACATGTTACTTACATTGAGTAAGTGAACATTTTTCAAAAGTCTGTGAATGACATTCTTTGTTTAAATTGTTTATAAAAGCATGTAACACTATGATACATTGAGTAGGTGTACATTTTACAAAAGTCTCTGTGGATGACATTCTTTGTTTAAATTGTTTATAAAAGCATGTAACACTGATACATTGCATAGGTGTACATTTTACAAAAGTCTGTGGATGACATTCTTTGTTTAAATTGTTTATAAAAGCATGTAACACTACGTGTTACTTACATCGAGTAAGTGAACATTTTTCAAAAGTCTGAATGATATTCTTTGTTTAAATTGTTTATAAAAGCATGTAACACTATGATACATTGAGTAAGTGTTCATTTTACAAAAGTTTCTGTGAATGACATTCTTTGTTTAAATTGTTTATAAAAGTGTGTAACACTATGATACATTGAGTAAGTGTACATTTTACAAGTCTCTGTGAATGACATTTTTTGTTTAAATTGTTTATAAAGCATGTAACACTATGATACATTGAGTAAGCATTCATTTTACGAGTTTTTCTGAATGACATTCTTGCATTTAAAATTGGTAAATTTTGTTATTAGACATTGATAGGAGGAATATCACTTAAATACTGTTTTGGATAACATATTTGATAAGGTGTTGGTAGTTAAAATCAGTCTTTTATGTTTTTCCAGGATTTTCAAAACTATCAGTACATGTTATCTACGGTTCCCGGTATGTTTGCCCAAGTCAAGGACAAGAAATCTTGTATTTACATCCCACGGAACCGCTATGACCAGGTATAGTGTTTTTGTTTTGTTTTTATATTAAAAGATTTTCTATTTGATTTCCAAGAAACGAGAACTAAGAATACGTTAGTTCATATTTTCTCCTGAATTAAGATATATATATTAATGTTAAAAGAAAATTAATCTTTGTACTCCAAACATTCTGGAATTCTACTGATTTATATTAAAGTTTTAGTAAAAAACGAAACTACTGTATATTTTAAGGAGAAGTGGTAATAAAGTATTCAAACAAACAAAGGGATAACTTGAGTTTTCTATATTCTAACTACAATGAGGCATAACTACTGTTATTTAATGATAGCTACTTCTAATTTAATTTTTATGTAAAACAGGTGGCTTATTCTGATCTGACATTCATGTTGAAAGTGTATAGTAAAGTTAAGGAAGTACAGTGTGTTCTCAGCAGAGTGTGTAAAGAGATCCAGATTGATAGTGAAACTTGTCAGGATTCCAAGAAAGACATTTTAAAATTTACATGATGTTGAGAGCAGTAGGTTGGCAGAAAGCTGATCGAAAACAGCAAATGAGAATGGCTACAATACTCGCATGGTGTGATTGGCAAATTGTGGACTTGCTTTCAGACCATCAACATTTTAACCAGAGAGCTGAACAGGAATAAACCATGATAAATAACCCCACAAGATGACTTCCAATTGACAGTATGGGTTTAAAGCAACCAGTGGGCCTCAACTCCCCAGCTGAATAAACAGTTCAGAAACCGAATGACAAATCAATAAGCAGTTCAACAGCAATAAGTTTCATAAGGGTTAACCTTTATGTCAAATGACCAGTGTTGTGTGGCTACTTTATTTCATTGCTACAGAACAGGCAGTCTTCAGTAATGTCAGGAACACATGGATTGGTCAAATGAAATATGAGTAAAAGTTTTTTTCACAGAGGAATCAAGCTACAAAATACAGCAAGACTTGTCCACATTTGGAGAGTGCCCAGGACCAAATCCAACCCCAATTTCACATAGAAAAAAGACACACATATAGCAATGGTGGCATACTGGTTTGAGCAGAGATCAGTATTGGTTTCCCCATTGACCTGTATGTGCTACAACATGCACTGTGGACACGATACACTGTAGAGATGCAATCCTACCATCATTATTGTTGCCATGTGCAGATACAGTTTGTCAGAACTTTCTAATAGAAGATAATACTAGCAACATCTTGGAATAAGAGGGTATATAAAAAGAATGGACTGGTCATCATGCTTACTGGACTTGAGTATGACTGGACATGTAAGAGATGCTCTAGAAAGACACTTGATACCATGTGATTCACCTCCAACTCCAAGTAGTTTGATAAAATGGAGACAACTCTGATGAAGGAGTGTGCCATATTTACTCACCAGCTCATTGATTCACTTATTGTAAGCTTTGTAACATCATTTTATTCGTATGTTTCTAGAAAAAACTGTGGAATAAGCAAGCACAATTTAAGCTTTGGTTACTGTTAAGAAAACAGTTGTTTCAATTATAAACATTCAATAAAGATTACTCTAGGGAGAGTCTAATGAAAAATAAATAATTGGAAAAGGGTTGTAAAATTATTTTATTGTCTGCCCCCTCCATGTTGAGTACAAATACACCTTGAAATAGAGTAGTTTTACAGTAAGGTAAAAAAAGAAAATTGTCAATAAGTATTATTAGAGAAAAACTAAAAGGCTATAAAATTAAACTTTATTTTTTACATTTAAAAACAAATTAAAACATTTCTATCTAAGCTTACAAACCAGAAAAATACTTAGAAATATGTGGCTTCTAGTTGAATGAGTTGTTAATAATTTATCAGAAATGCATTTTCTTCCTGCCTGTTAGCATTGTACTCATCGGTGGAGGTTAATAAAAGGCATAAACAGTTTCTTTTGCCTGCAGATAATTCAAATTTTAATTTTTCTAAAATATCTACAGATAGAATCAGTTACAATCTTAGATAGGAGTTAAGTTCACTTTTGCATTTTCATCTCAGTACCTTTAATTGATTTAAATAAGCATGTAATACTTATAGTTAGGATGGAAAGTAAAATAATTATCTCTTAAATCCAAGTAGTTTGCTCGTGATTTATAATTTGTCTTCCAAAAAATAATGCTACATTTGTTTTTGTTTTTTTACATTCTCATCTTTTTTAACACAGTACCGAAAGTTACAGAGTATTTTTCTTTTGTTTTCTAACCAGATGATAAAATTACTGAACAGTAACAATGAAAATGTGCTAGCAATGGCAACAAATTTCAGCAAAGAAGCTGATTCTCATCTGGTGTGTGTTCAAAACAGTGAGGGAGTCTACCAAACTCAGGCTATTAATATTCAAAATGTATCTCATACAAGTAAGTAGCACCATGTATGAGAACTGTAATAGTTTTTCTTTTCAGTTTCAAAATCTTATGAACCTAAATTAAGATTAATAATAAGAAAATTAATTAATATCACAAAAATAAGAAAGTTGGCATAGAAAAACTCACAAATGGTATTAATATTTAACCTGTGGATTACATTTATTACAGTTTCTATATCAGTAGTTTTTAATTTATTTTTTTTATTATTGCCTAGAAGTTTATTGGATTCATATGTAACCAGCAGCTTGTTCCATTAATCTTTTTATCTATGAAACCATCAAGTCACTCACTTGATTATGTCCAAACTTTGTGTTTAGGAACTGGAGTCAGTTTTGTTGTTTTCACTGGAGCGTTGAAAGCCTCATCTAGACTTACTGGTAAATCTACAATTGTGGAGGATGGTTTGCTTATTCAGATTCCTTCAGAAACTTTGTTAGCACTCAGAACAGCCTTAAGAGAGATGAGAGATTTTACTATTACCTGTGGACCAATAGCTGCTTCAGAGCCAGATGAAGTTGTCACCTTAGAGTGGACCAAAGACGATAAAGATTGTAATATAGGGTAAGACAAATTCTTGGAAGAAGTGAGTTGATTTGTTGTCAAGAATTCTTCAGCACTTTTTTGTAATTAATAGCAAAGCTGAAGAGAATTGATTGTAGTCTTTGTGAATATTGAATTGTAATGGTTAAATTATTATATTGAGAATTAATTGGACATATCAGGCAGGTGGTAGCACTGCCTATGTAGGGGATGGCTTGGATTGCTTATCAAAATGTTATTTTAAATATCTCTTCAATAGATCATCAGAACTTTACAATACAATACTTTTATAACAATATCTATGTAATGACTGAGTCACAAGTTCTGGGAACGTCTGTAAGTATCACAGCTAAAAGTGTGAATTTCTTGTTCTTCTTTTTTTTATTACGTGATAACTCAAAAACCAAAACAATGGTGTCAACAATTTTACTGAGGTGACATAGTTTCATAATTCTGTTGTAAACGATTTAAGTATCATAGCTAAAAGTGTGAATTTCTTGTTCTTCTTTCTTCTGCTTCTTTTTTTTATTACGTGATAACTCAAAAGCCAAAACAATGGTGTCAACAATTTTACTGAAGTGACATAGTTTCATAATTCTGTTGTAAACGATGTTATCATTACCCCTTGAAGTTAGCTTTCTCACAGAAATTTGGTGTTCCTTTAAAAAGCTTCAGTACAGGGTGAAACGGGAATTACCAGCCGATAATAGACAAACAATAAATATTACAGTCAGAACCTCAGTGTATTTAGAACTTAGTTATAAATACAACCTTCCTATGTCTATTGAAACACTGCATCAAAAAAAGCAAACAAGTAAAGAAAAAAACTTTCCAAAAAAAGATTTTTTCATACCTGTAGTCCATTGTCTTAGCTCTTCAATACAAACAGTGCAAACGTCGTGCAGAGCCCATGATTTATCTTAGTCCCCAAGTTTTATTCCAAAATATGCATAATATGCTTTTCTGACTAATTCTGTAAGGTATTACCTTTGTTTCTTTACAACAAATTTACCACAAATATAACAGAATCTGTTTGGGTCATTTACACAACCTCTTGTTACCATAGTGACAAATGAATAATATTGAAAAGAAAAAATAATCTCAAAGTACACTCACAAACAAATACTATCCAGTAATGACACATCATGTGGCCTGTTAACCGTTTATATACTAGCGGTGTGTTTCTTGTGGGTTCTAGAACGAACGATAAGACTCTCATGATTGATCTAGAGAAATCTATAGCCAGTGGTTGTCAACATTTTAAGCATAACAAAATGTGACGAGATTTCAATGAAAATGTAAAAGTACATATGACGTTTTGTGAAAAATTGGTACATGTAAAAATTTGAAAAGAATAAAACCATCACAGGCCTGTGGTATCAACCCTTCAAAAATAATGCAAACAAGTGAGTATGGATGACTGTTCAATCACAGTTGAGTTTACTTTATCCTATTTGTGTCTATTTACATTCTACTACACTGTGTGCCTGTGCTATTATGTAGGGATGATGCAAATGCCATATCTACTGTCTTGTTTGCATTGTTTTTGAAGGATTGATATTAGCCATCCCTACATTTACTTCCTTTTTTGGTAAAGTTTTTTTTTGTTACTTGTATATATTTATATTTATAGCATTCTTTGACATTATATTGACATAATGTTTGGGAAATAACCACTAGAGGTACTTCTGACTAAAGAATGGCATTGAATTAAATACAGTACAAATAACAAAAATGTATGTTCAGGAAATTTACTGCAGTTCAATTGATAGAGAAAAAAAACATAGCATTTAAAAAAAATTTCGTTCCTTACAGAGTGAAAAGTCCTATTGATGGGAAAGATCTAGATGGTGTACAGAGTCTACGTATCCAATCAGGAACTGACTATGCAGGAGAAAGATACCTCATTCGCTGGACTGATGTCTTCTTAATTAAAATTGATGACGACGGCAGCGGTAGAAGGTAATAGGAACTATAGGAGGTGGCGTTAAAAGTAGATTGCAAGAGGGAATTCTTACTTTAAGACTCAAACAATAACTGGGAATTCTTACTTTAAGACTCAAACAATTACTGGGAATTCTTACTTTAAGACGCGAACAATTACTGGGAATTCTTACTTTAAGACGCGAACAATTACTGGTAATTCGTACTTTAAGACTCAAACAATTACTGGTAATTCGTACTTTAAGACTCAAACAATTACTGGGAATTCTTACTTTAAGACTCAAACAATTACTGGGAATTTGTACTTTAAGACTCAAACAATTACTAAAAGTAAAAGAAATAACCTTGCAGTTTATATTATAATACATGTATAAATTTTCTGTCATCTGCAAATTTCAATTCAAGGGAGACAATGAAAGAGTACAAGAAGAAAACTTAAAATTTGAATACAAGTTTTGCAACACCATAAAGTGATCCACTTACAGAGTTTCCCAAACACGGTATTAAATGTGAAACTTTAAATGCTTAATTGATAATTTAAAAAAAAAGTGATTGTTTAAGGTACTAAGAAATGCAACTGAAAGACCGTTAGTGTTTAGGGACTTTTTAAATACACCTTAGAATATTAATAAAAAATGTTTTTAAAGTTGCAACATTTTTAAAGTAAACTTTCAGATCTTAATTGTTTATATTTAACTTTTTTGATTACAAAAGAATATTTACTCTTGATTTCAGCTAAAGTTTGTTACTTAGACGTACGTGTTAGGTCACTCAGCTTGCAATCTGAGGGTCATGGATTTGAATCCTGTCCCCAAATACGCTTGTTCTTTAGTCATGGAAATATTATAATGTGACAATCAATCCCACTTTTCACTGATAAAGAGTAGCCCAAGAGTTGGCTGTTGATGGTGTTGACTAGCTGTCTTCCCTCTAGTCTATCACTTCAAAATTAGGAATGGATAATGGAAATAACTCTCAAGTAACTATTGTGCAAAATTTGAAAACAAACCTACAGATGTTATGAAGCCTTTGTTTGAAAAAAACAATTACTTTAATAGAAACTTGTGTTTTGCGTGTAAGAAAAAAATAATTTATAATGATATTAAACATTTAATAATCAATAAAATGTGTATTAGTGACTTGAAGGAAATTGTAATACCAGTTACTTTTTTCTGTAATTATTATTAGACACTTAATTTTCTTCAAATGAAAAGCCTTGCATTTGAAGTTAGTTGTAATTGTTTCTTTAAAAATACACTGAACATAACTTCTAGAGTTTTTAATGCTACTTGAAATAAATTGAATAGTTATTTATGTATAAAAACAGTGAGAGGTTTCCAGGATATGTAATATAGATAATCCTAAATGGGAACATATATGTTAAACTTGTATTTTGTGTCTATTATAATACACTTACTTGGCTTCCATAACTACAAATATTTTTAGGCTAACTGACAAATAATTTAGTAACTAAGGAATAAAATCCACTGAAATATATAACAAGCTGTGAGTGACTTAGCTAAACTCAGGTTGGGTTTGTTGTTTATTTGGTGTGTTTTGTTTTTGTTTTTTTTGCAATAAGTTGATTAGTTTTCTCACTTTGATTAGTTTCAAATTTCTCAGACAGTTATCAGTACTTTTTTTTTGGGATAGTAGTTGTGTGGTTTACCTTTGTGGTATCCAATTTTTCTCTGTTTTTGCTGTATTTGATTAGTGTGTGTGTGTGTGTCTTAGGTCAGATCCAGTTGATCACATCCGCCTAGCTGAGGTCATATCCCAAGCATTCTGTCTAGCTCTGACACCTCATCTTGAACTTTTAGCTGAAAAGGAGCTGACAAAGATTGGGCTTAGAGTCACAATGGATAGCGAACAGGTACTATATATATATATATTTTTTTTTAATATTTACATGTGTGTGTGTATATATATATATATATATATATATAGTATATAGTAACTAAATAAACTATACTATAGTTTATTTAGTACGTAAGTTACGAACCTACCGAAGGTAAGTA